GAGCATTTTTAAAGCTGGAGTAGGTGCCAAAGTACCTGATAGTATGTTCTTAACATCAAGTCATTTGTTGTTTTCGTATTCTTCACTCATGTTGTATAATCCTGCTAATGGATGAAGCTCTCCTGTTGGTGGACATTCTCTATAAAAGGACACAAATTAAATCTGTTTGACTTCCTGCTGAAACCGTTTGAAGGTGGTCAAGATGACCGTTCTGTTTCAATGATCATGTCAAAAAAAATGAAAACCTTTTATATAAATTTAAAGCAATACAAAWGCTTAAAAATCAACTTTTTTGAGCACTTATGTCATGTTATAATGTCAATCCCTCATCACAAACTGACCCAGTGTGTTGCTTTGACTCAGTCATGCATGTTTGAGAAATCCTYGAGTCTCCTGTGGTAGCCATGGGGAGCTGCCTAAACACTTGCTGGTACAAAGCACCACCTTTTTGTAAAAAGCTCCTACCTGGTGAAGAAGTGGGAGTGTCAGAAACAGTAAAAGGTTTTTTTTAAAGAGCAGAGGCCATTTTCAAATGATGTAAAGTCAAATTTATTCTTGACATATACAGCTTTTCATAACAACTGAGGATGACACAGTTACTTGGTTGTAGTATAGAATTGAACTATGTGCCTGGAATATACATTACCCCCCCCCCCCCCCCCACACACACACACACACACACACACACACACGCACACATATACCCCACTCCCTTTAAAATTGTAATTTTAAAAATGCTGTTCAGAAATGGAAATCAACCGGGACATCCTAAACGCTCTTCTGAGGGGATTGCCTCATTGCGGCGTGGCTGCTGTGTTGATGTTATCAGAGACAGCTGTGTGGRGTGGAGACTCTCAGGGAGCCTATAGAGCCAGCCAGTTGGCAGTAGATCCACCTGCTTCACATGTGCACTTTTCATCTAAGCCCCTCAAAGAAATTCTCTTTAGTCCTTTTCTGTGTCAACTGCCCCCCCTCGCCCTCATGTTCTTTGAAGTTGTGATCCAATGTGTTTTTAAGTATTAGACATCTTATCCAATCGTCCTGTGGTCATGTTGTGATGTGTTCGATCCACAGATTTGTATGAAGCTTTACAACAAACTCTTGTTGTAGGTATTGGGGTCACAGGCGAAGCGTATTTGTGAATAAATGAAAGCAATCTTTAACAGAGGATGATCCAGGCGATCACTCTAGAAGCTGATGTATTAATCACCTTTATCCAGATCACTGAGAGCTACTGTTGATTTAAAATGGGWATCAGTTCCAGTTGTTTGCCTGCACTTAGAAGTGCTGCTAATTGAATTAAAAGTCATTCAAGAAGAAGATGAAACTCTGTCAAACTTAATGCCATCAGTTAAGGACTCCTCTGTCTGCTATCTGTCTAAAATCCCACACAGAAAAGCATGCCTTTCTTTTAGAAGAACCAACTCTTTGGAGGTGTTAACACCAGGGCAGGAAACAGTTGAGGGTGTTGAAGTGAAATGGTGAGCAGWGCGGCTGTGGGGGTCACAAATTATGATCTTAGAGGGCATTTTTTTAAAGCAAACTTTAGCATTTTTGTTTAAGGTCATGCTTCTACAAAGACAGTGGCTCAGTTGGTAGAGCTGTTGCCTCTCAAATATAAAGGTTGAAGGATAGATATCCAGCCAAGGACCTTTCTGAGTAGAGTTTTCATGTTCTCTCTGTGCATGCGTGGGTTTTCTTTGGGCACTTCAGTTTCCTCCCACAGACCAAAAACCTRACTGCCAATTGGTAACTCTAAATTTTCCCAAGATGTGAGTGAGAGTGAATGGTTGTTGGTCTCTATGTGGCCATGTGATGGACTTGTGACCTGTCCAGGGTGTACACCACTGCTTGTAGAGTGACTTTTGGACATGGGCAGAAGTGGGTATAGATATCGGATGGATTTATAATAAAACAGTTTSTCTACATWTGGATTTTCTTTCACTATCAAATGTTKTCTATTGTTCCAATGATTCTTTGCATGAAGGGAATCATTTTGCACTGTGTTTAGTCACCACTGTTCTAAAAACAAAAATGTACTGTACTAGTTTGTATTTGTAAAATACATATTACAATATTGGTGCTTCCTAAAGGCCTCTTACCAGGTTGGCAACAATCTCTAAACATTGGCGAGGGAGTTTCTTAAATGTCTTGAAACGTAAGGGTTCTCAATTCCTTGTACGAGTTTATAAAGTTTGCAAAATGTCTCAAAATAATCATACAGTTGTTGTGGATACCTGGAATACATCTGGAATCTTAAGTTTAGCTTTTCTTAGTCAGAAAATGCAAGAAATATAAGACTTAAAGGGGATCCTGACCTTCCTGATTCCCTGAGAATGGGACAAAATTGTGAATAAGCTCAGAATAAATTGCAAACACATTGAAACGTAGTTAAGATACTTTGTGACTAAATTACCAAAAACATATATTACATTTGTGCAATATGCATACAAAGCCTAAAATTTGCTCTAAACTTATTTTTCATAAGTATCAATTGAATGTGGATTCATGTGAAAATTTGCAAAATTTTGGGTCTTTGAAATAGTCAACAGTTACAGCCAAGTGAGATACRTGCCGTAAAGAGCCACTTGAGGAAGAGTAATAACTTTTTGGCATAAATTATCATCATTATCATGTCAAGTTTAAACAGAGAAGACAGCTTTCTAAAGAAGGTTGCAGAAATTCTTGTTGGCATGCAGTGTTACACTGTTTACTTTAATACTCAAGGTCAGGACAGTTTGTCTCTTTCCACTGGAAACACTTATAGTGACGCCATAGATTTGATTCATTGACTTTTTTATAAAATATATGGACTCTCTCAAATCAGTTCATGACAGTAGCATGAGACTCAACAGGACATGTCAAATGTGTCCAGTTGTCTGGAAAAAAGCGTAGAAATTACTTTTTCTAGGTCCTAATAGTCTCCTACATCTGGATGCCAAAATGTTCTCAATGACGTTACGCCAATTTTATTTTTTATTAATGGGAACTGGGTGAATCTCCAAACTGCCATTCATTCATGGCACCATTTAGTTATCAAAGCGACAGTGTTAGCTAGCATGAACAGTTTTATAGATCCAATTTTATTAAAGCCTTATGTGTACTGTTATTTCTGCCGCTCCTCACATAAACCAAGAACAATAAGGCAAAGGCTGTGTTGTAGAGAAAGCAGTCTTAATGAACCTCAATCCAACTTTTTCTTTGGTCTCCAGCAAAGCTCAGCAGGAAGATTAAAAGGCTTTTTGGCTCAGACTGAGAGAAGAGCTGCAGTATATGTTGACTATGTAAAAGTCACAGAAATGGAATGGAAACATAACATGAAGGGAAAAAAGTGAACCCTGCACATTGTTTGGCAATTGTCAGAAAAAAAAATTCACTTCAGTTTTGGTCTTGTTCAGCATGCTTTGAGTTATTATTATTATTATTATTATTATTATTATTATTATTATTATTATTATTATTATTATTATTATTATTATTATTATTATTATTATTATTATTATTATTAAGAATTATTGTTAAGTTTGGTTGCATTTGCATAAAGCTCTCAGGTTGTAAAGTGAGTTCTGACATCACTTGTGGTGCTGTTCAGTATTCCCCTCAATAAGCCTGACTAGTTGATAGAAACAATGATTGCATTTTGATTAGTCTCCAGTGTGACCACAGCAATATTGCACTGTGAGCCTCATCAAATTGTGTTCCAGGCTTTAATAGGCAAATTATTACGTTTCCTGTTTTTAGTTTTGAGCAAAAAGTTGAAMAGGGACAGCCTCAGCACGGTAGAGGAGATTAAAATATGTGTGGCCTATTTTTTTATGAAGATGATTTACTGAAAATTAGCCCAGGAAGTGGGTGACTTTCCCTAAAATCTTATGTTTTCTCCAGGGAATGATTTACTGTTATACTATAAACTTAATGAACTACATTTACTTTGAACGTTAGTGATTTCTGCAACATTGTGTGTAATTTCATGCTCTGACAGTAAGACACTCATCTTAATGAAATGTGGCTAAGCACTTTTAACTTTCTGGCAGCAAAATCAAAAGTAACACTGATGATATAATTTGTGGTTTCCCTCCAATCAGTCATATTATAACCTTTGAGACACTAACAGTGCACATCTAATGGATGTTAAATAGATGTTTGTGAGTAAAAACTTTGCAAGAGAAGTACTTTTTCACCTTAAACAAGATTTTAATATCAAAGTTTAAAGCAGTTTAATAATTGATAACATTTTTCTGTCTATCAGGTCTGAGTCAGGAATCTCCAAGTTTACTCATCGTCTCTCTTTGAAAGAACGACCAACGAAAGCGGAAAAGACTTCTTCAGACAGACCAACATCTTACAGAAGACGGTCTCTTAGTGTGGACTGGTAAGACATTTCATTATCATTTCAAAAAGCACAATGTGGACAGAGCAAACATTTTTCTTGAGTTTTTGCTCTTATCAATTTATCTCAAGAGTGACTGGATGGATTTTAAATAAGTCACGTGTAAGTACAACTGATCAACTTAAGCTTGAGTAGGTAACTTTTCTAAAAATGTAATTTTTTATGTATTTGGTAAAACTTTCACTATGTTCTGACAGTAGGATATGAGACAGGTAATCTGTGAAAAAATAAAACTCCTCTGGCAGTACTGCTATTTGCAGAAAACTCCCATTAGGGGTCAGAAACGGCCAATCAGAGCCAGGAGGACCAGTGTCAATCACGCTTGTGTACATGCTGCTCAAGCCCATCCCCCCTCACAGCTCTCGTTCAAACTTTAGGTTGCCAGTGTATTGCAGCTATGCTAATGGTCTAGAAAAGAACCAACGTTATAGGAAAACTGCAGATTTCTGAGAGTTCCATTGCTGTTTAACCAACATCATGGATGGCACAAAAATGGTAATAACAGAATCAGGTGTACACACAGTGAGCTAAAGTTTGCCTGATTTCGGTGTGTAAATTTCTGTATTTATTCTCAAATCTGTACCGAAGACATTTTGGCCAGCCTAGATTCTCAGCTTGTAAAGGTGTAAAGATTGCAGGTATCTTGGACTTGTAATAGTGGAATGCTTTGCCTGTTCAATTCTAAACTGAACTTCAAAAATGTTGTGATGTCTGTTTACAAAATCAAAGCTCTGGCTGATGGGGATTTGGGGGGCTGGTGTTTTGGGTCAGTGGCAGGGAGTGGGCAGGGTGATGATAGGGTCCTTTTCTGCCTCAGCATCTTGGTTTCATTGAGGAGCGCCAAGTAGCTTTAGTGGCGCCAGCTCATCTTGCTCTTGTAAAGTTCCAGTCTTCAGGCAGCCGATGAAAGGAGCTTGAAAGCTTTCCATCACAAGGCTGCCTTCCCGGCCCCACCCATGGGAATCCTTCTCACTCTCTCTTTTTTTCTCCTTTTCTTTTCTTTTTTTTACTTGGCCTCAACCCATTTATCTACCCATTGATCCTGCAGTTCATGCATCTGGCATCCTCCTTGAGCTTCCTGCTATGTGTTCTTTGCGTTTCCTGTGTTCTTTTCTCATTATTGGGAACAAAGATCTCAGTTTCAAAGAATATTACGCCTCCTTTGCACTTGATTTTTCTAATAAAATAGCACAGCTTCATTTCCAATCAGTCCCGAGGTTTATAATTACTTTGCTCAGACTGTAGTAGTTATTCCATGGGGTTATTTTGTGGTTTGTGGAGTCACAGGTGGGTTTCTCTGAGGTCCTATGAAGTCATCCAAGAGTCTGCTGTGAGGTCTTACAAGATCTTTTGTTGGCCTTAAGAGACGAACTGTGTGGTCGCAAACTGACKGTGAGACGTGTGGTCCACCAGCAGAGATTTGGTGTTAAGTGTACGAGCCGAGGTGTTTGTGCAGTGTGAGGTCCTTTAACAGCTCCGTGTTTTTTTTTCCTCCCGTGTTACAGGAGAGGGGACCTGGCCTTTAAAGTTCAGACCTCGACTGATGTGGTCTGGTTTTAATGGAGCACAGTGGGTAAAATGAACACGCTCATTTACAAGAGGGATGAAGGGGCAAACAGCTACAGCTGGATTTGGACTTTGTCGGTGCCGTGCCACTGTTACATAAGCGCAACTCGCCTTTTGTGACATGTCAGATAAAAGACTTTGGGTGGAGAGRGTCGAGGTTTAGGGTTAAGTTGTGCTTCTGGGAGGCGGAACAAGGTTGGTCCAAACCTTAAGAAGACCTGAGTAGCTCCTCTGGAATGCTCAGTCATCAGTGTGGTCAGGGAGGAAGCACGCGTGCTTGTAGTRGCATCTATTGGAAATATTCAGTCAGATATTTGAAATTCTTCAATGTTTATCAGACTTCCTGTAGTCTGTCTGTGCAATTTAATTTGCTTAGCCTACAGTTATTAAACATTTTCTTAAACTCAAATTCCAAAATAGATATAACTCAGTCAGTTCAACAGAAACAGAACCATAGTTTAATGTGGTAGTAGCTGAGACTGATCCACAAAATATCTCATGAACCACCACAGTATCTCTAGATACCATGCTCAAGTTTGGTGTGGTGGTAGCTWAGAACCATTTACAATACCTACTTTAAGAGCTACTAATTCCATAAAATTGTTCCTTAAAACTGCATTAATTCTGGGAACCACATGTTTGTCTGTTAGCAAAATGTCTCATCAAACACTAGAATGATTTTAAGTAAACACTAGAAAGATTTTAATTAAACTTGCACAACTTCATCACTGGATATACATCAACCAGTGATTTTTGGAGTGAACTCTGTAAAATATGCCTACCAAAGCTAAGAAAAGACCTCAACAAAAATGGCAGTTTTTACAGACATTTGATGTAGTTGTAGTTAGAGCTGCATGACATATTGTTTGAGCATCTTCATTTCAATATAGGTGTGAGCAATAGCCATACTGCAGGTCACCATGGAATCAATGTGTTATCTAAGGCAGAAGTTCTCAAACTCAAAATATATGAATAAATAGTTAATTAGATTTTTTAATGAATATGGAGAACAATGCACTAGTAAAACAAACATACTAAACCAAACAAAAAATAATATTCTCATAGTATTTAGGGGTTACAATGACAGTAAACTCTTTCTAAAACAGCAYGGGTTTTATGAGGGGGTCCCTGGAAATATTTCACACTTGTAAGGGGTCCCCAGACCCAAAAAGTTTGAGAACCCCTGATCTAAGGACTAAACCACTAAACGATGACGTCACTAATCAGTCGTGTGTTACAGCTTTTCTATTGATGGGTTGCTTCCATAGGCAGACATGGGCAGTTTTGGGTTTGAAAAACAAATTTTCTTTTTTTTTTTTTTGGGAAAACTCTGGGACAATAATGACAAGATTATTTGGAGATGTGTTGCCTGTGAATTCTCGGGCTATGGAGAAAGACGATGAGGTTCTCGATGAAAATGAGAAAAATGTGCAAATTCGCAAAGAACAGGATGAAAAGTGATAGAATAGAGTTAATACGAATGCTAATAATGTGTGACGGAAACCAAAACTGAAATAGACACAGAAGCAACACGTTTTGTGATAAAACGCAATTCACATTTGCACACGATAGAAGGAAACATACCCAGGTTTCAACGCGATGAACAAAACGAATAACTTTCAAATACAGACAAAAAYATACTCATAAAAAATGTGAGATGAGTGCAGGTTTTTATTTTTTCATATTGCAATATACATTGCAGAGTTAAAAAAAAAACTCGCAATGTGCTACATTCACATTGAACACTTTTTCAGTGTGAAAAATGTGTCCAGTGCTTCAAGTTCGATGCTTGTGCACTTTGAGGTCAGATGCTYGTTATTTGCTCTAGATGAGTGTCACGCACGTCGGGAAGTGTCTCTGGTTGTTTTCCTCGGCTGGTCTCAGTACAATGGCAGATAAAATTAAGTGGCTTTGCTTTATTTACTGATGCTATGTTCACACCAAACGCGTTTTGAGCAGCAAGAGCAGCCGGTTTACATGCAAAATCTATGGCAGACGCGTGTCTAGGGGTCTCGCGGCTCATCTAGGCCGTTTAGCGTGGCGTACAAGGACGCAGAAGTTGCGGTAGAGTGCTTTCCGTACATGCGGCGCATCCAAAGCAGCCGACACTTGAGTTAAAAAATCTGAACTTTTGCTGCTCGACTCGCCGCGTCAACCAATCAGAGAGACTCATTTTTCCGTGTGACAGTTTTCTTGAATGTTGCCCACTAACGTGAAACTGATGGACAGGAGCTCTTTATCTGAAATCGACCATCTGCAGTTGGTGTTCTGGCTGAAGATATCAGCACTGATGCGGGTCAGTGGCTCATTAAACGAACTGCGGGCTTGGGACAAAAAAATGGTTCGTCAGCTTGCAGCTCCTGGAGTGGTGAAACTGAAACCGAACAGACCATCTCTAAATTATTTGGTGAATTAATTATCTGAGCACAACGTTTGCTTGCTCTAAAGTTAATAAAGCAAAGCCCTTTTCTTTATTTAATCTTTATTTCATCCGCCATTAAAGACAGACCAGAAAAAAMCCAAGACGCCATTCAGACACGTRTCTGTCCTGGTCTGAACATAGTGCGTCCAACTTGAGGCGTTGGGTGCATTTTGGATGCTCAAAATGTGATTGGTGTGAACGTAGCATGAGAGCAAGAGCATGTAGTGTTCAATTCATAATTCATTTACCATATAATTCAGAGACGTTCTGAGTTTGGTGATTTTCACCACTCCAGGAGCTGCGAGCTGACGAGGCTCACTTTCAGATCTATTTTTGTCCTGAGCCCAGTTTGACGAGCCGCTGACCCACATCGGTGCCTACATCTCCTGTCAGGACACCGATTACAGGCGCTCTAAAGAGCTATAGAGCTCCTGTCCAACTGTCTCAAGTTAGCAGGCATCATTCAAGAGACCGTCCCATCAGAAAATGCACTGTCACATAGCAGAATCTCTCTGATTGGTTGATGCTCTGCGTCGAGCAGCAAAAGTTCCGATTTTCCAACTCCAGCGTCAGCTGCTTTGGATGCGCTGCACGCACATCAAACTTTCAAACTGCACCTACCGCATCGAAACACGCCGTGCTAAACATGCTACACGCCGCGAGGCTTCTCAACGTCCCTAGACTAACGTCCATCATAGACTTTGCATGTAAACCTGATGCTCCTGACATTCAAAATGTGTTCGGTCTGAACCTAGCTCTAGTTTGTTCCAATATTGTGCAGCCTTCGTTGCAGCCGACTCATTCGCGACATACAGTGCACTCGGAGCATTAACACATCTTGCAGTGTCACGCAATATTGCACAATGTTAATTTCAAGGTTTGATCACAATACCCCAAATTCTGTCTTTTTTAAAAAAATAGGAGAATTTTAGTTTCTTTGCAGGAAAATGGCTGTGCAAAATTACGTCTTCAAATAATGTTAGCTTTTAAAAAG